CGCGCCCCCGCAGCAAGCCGCCGCCGCCGCCAGGACTCGGCGGGCGGGGACAGCCGGAGAGTCGGGGGGGCACGCCTCCGCCGCACTCTGCACATGCTCGCCCCGGATTGCGGAGGCTCCCGCCGGTTCCTCCCGCCCGGCCTCCGTGCAGCCCCCTCCGCCGGCCAGAGACGGGGGGGAAAGCCCCTCTGACGTTGACCGGAGCCCTGCGACGTATCTGTCGGGATTGCCAGCCTGGAGGAACACGTGTTCTCCCGACTGCAGCGATCACTCCCCCCCTCCCCCAGAAAATCACCGCTGCTTGGGAGGGGGAAGTCTCTGTCGCCTTGGACTGCTCTCCCTAAATCTCCAGGCGTGCCCCAATCTGCAGTTGGCAACCCTACCCAAATCAACAAGCAGCCTCCTGGTTGCCTGTTGCTCTGTTGCTGGGCAGCCACAAGCTTGAGAGCTACCGGGGCACTAGAGTTGGGGTCCTCCCCACCAAGGCTCCCTCTAAGCTCTGGAGTCTTGTGAGCAAAAATTCTACTTTTGTTTTCTTGGTCTCCACTTGTGGAAGCAGCCAGCCTCTCGGAACCAAAGAGGTGCAGGCGCACAGACGGGCTGGGGGGCCACGGTGGGATTGGGGCCCATCAGCCCAGATGTTGGGTTTGTGGGCCTGGAGAGAAACAGAACGGGCGGCTGGTTTCGGAGCGTTCAGAGAGGAGGGACGAGGGCAAGATCCCACTGCAGTTTCTCCAAGCAGGAATCGGGGCCCTCTGCCTGGGGAAGGCAGAAGTCGGCTGAAATGGAACAGCCACACTTTCCTGCTCGGGACAGAGACCTGCCGGAGTGCATTTTCAAGACAAATGTGGACAATCACGACCTGATCAAAGAACAAATGTAAAGAGAACAGTTGTGAGAGTCTGACCCACAAATCAGGCAGTCAGCAATACTTGCAAAGAAAACGCTTTCTGTATAGTATTGTCAAGAAGCTCTACAACACAATGAACAAATTCTTTCAAATCATAAGAAATCCTAGTGTGAAAATACATCGTCGTCGTCTCCGGATTACATAGCCACGTTTCAAAATTGGATCTTCCTCAGGAAGTATTAGAGAAAGAGGTACTTTTCTCCCTTTCTCACAATACAAGAACTCTGAGGGGGGAAAGGCCTGTGTCTGCAGGGATGAATAAGGACTGTGGCTGAATGAGGGGGCAAGTTCCTGTTCAGTAGCCTCCCCCCTCCCCCCCGATTTTCAGGCCCCTTCAAAGGGTGCGGTCAGACAGCCTGCTGGGAGCGGTTCAAATTGCTCCGGCCCTGAGGCGGTCTTTTTTAACCTGGAGAATCACGATCACACTCACCTCCTTGCTCCAGTTCACTGCGCTGTTTTTCTCTCTCATTTTGGGCATGCGCAGAGGCAGCCATCTGTGGAACTAAAAGTTTTGCGCCTGCACAGAACAGCGATTTCCTCTTCAACCCGACTGCTGTAACGCTTCCCTTTAAATTTTAAAGGAACACTTCCCTTTAAATGTTTACCGCTGAAAATGGCCTCCGTGAGATCCCAAACTCGTCTACAGGCTAAAACTAGACACCGTTTAAACATTGTTTTTAATAACCCTGTGGCGGACCTCCGCCTATGCGCACACCGCCGCTTTTTTAAAAATGGCGGGCGAAAAACAGAAACATCGGGGAGGGGGTTTAAACCGGAAGTGGCTCGACACGGGAGGCGTGATCACACAGGGGGGAAATGCCGCTGGAACCGGAGAATCAGGAAAACACCACTTGGGAACCTGGTATCAAAATACTCCAGGTTAAAGCTGTTTTGAGCTGGAAAGCAACGGCTGGGGACGGGAAGCAGATGTTGACCATGTGATCGCGCAGATAAGATCCGTTTCTGAGGCGGGCCGAACACAGACTAAATGGCCCATCTGAACGCACCCATAAAGTGCTTTACAAAAAATCAGGAAAGAATACATTTAGACGCCTGGGGATCCATCAGAAGCTTAGCAACATATTTGAGCCTGAATACTTACTGAGATCTGCGTCCTATCTAAATGTATCATCTTTCCTGATTTTTTGTAAAGCACTTTATGAGCGCGAGAGCTTTTGTATGACTCTAATACTTCCTGAGGAAGATCCAATTTTGAAACACTGTTATATAATCCGGAGATGACGTTAATGTATTTTCACACAAGGATTTTCTTATGACTTGAAGGAATTTGTTCACTGTGCCGTAGTGCTTCTTGACAATACTATACAGAAAGCGTTTTCTTTGCAAGTATTGCTGACTGCCTGATTTGTGGGTCAGACTCTCACAACTGTTCTCTTTACATTTGTTCTTTGATCAGGTCGTGATTGTCCACATTTGTCTTGAAAATGCACTCCGGCAGGTCTCTGTCCCGAGCAGGAAAGTGTGGCTGTTCCATTTCAGCCGACTTCTGCCTTCCCCAGACAGAGGGCCCCGATTCCTGCTTGGAGAAGCTGCAGTGGGATCTTGCCCTCGTCCCTCCTCTCTGAACGCTCCGAAACCAGCCGCCCGTTCTGTTTCTCTCCAGGCCCACAAACCCAACATCTGGGCTGATGGGCCCCAATCCCACCGTGGCCCCCCAGCCCGTCTGTGCGCCTGCACCTCTTTGGTTCCGAGAGGCTGGCTGCTTCCACAAGTGGAGACCAAGAAAACAGACTAGAGAGGATACAACAGAGCGTTTAAGACTTTATGATTGCAACAACTTCTTGGGGTGGGGGAGAGTGAATGCCAACAACGGCTGGGTTTCGGAAAATCCTGGAGCGAAGCCCGGCGCAAACAGGAGCGTGCCCAGTTGCCCACCCATCCCCACCACCACCAGCAGCAGGGCCAACACTGAGAGACTGCGCGTTCTACACCCACATACAAGCAGCACTGGTGGGGGCGGGGGCACAACAACAGCAGCAGAAACATTTCAGAGGGGAGTCACAATACAGCGCCCTTCGGCACACAGCCTCTTCTCCGGTTTGGGAACCCCCGCTGGCTAGGGGTGCGTGGCTGGGTTTGAATTCAAATTCTCCCCGTGAGGATCACCACAATTACCGCGGAGACCTTATTCGTCTCAGGGAGTCATCAAATATCATGAATTTTCAACATTCGGCCGCCCCTGCTCCTCGCCACTAACGCCCTTCGGTGGTCCAAGTCCTCAGGCCGTGGTCAGACCCACTGAAAACGTGAGATTCTTCTCTCTGCCCGTGTCCCGTGGCCTCCTGGCTTGCAGCCTCTGGGGAGACAGGCGGCACAGTCCAAATTGCCACCTAAAGGCGGGAGGGAAACCTCCTTTCTACAAATCCTGCTCTCAAAATAAAGTAGGCGGCACACAAAATGTGGTTTGGCTGCAGCGGTCCTGTTTTGGGGCACCTTTCCTTTCATCCCCCTCCGACAGGGGACACGGCTTAGCCGTGAACAGTGAGGAAGGGGAATGGGGGGGGGGATTTCCAAAACTCCTCATCTGCAGTCACTTAATCCGAGCGGCTGTTCTGCACCTCACCACTGAAAGAACGGCAGGGTTTGGGGGCAAAAGACCGCAGTTGTGGGAGGCCAGAAACGAGTGGCCCTTGGAAAAGCCGGCCCCCTGGCAACACTGGGACCGGTGGATCGCTTCGGGCAGGGCCGTCCGGGCAGGTTCCAAGAGGTGCTGGGGGGGGGGGGCAGCGAAATGCAGAGATCTGGCTCCTGAGCAGCTTAGGCTGTGCGAGACTCCCAGTGGTTGGGGACAATGCATCAGGGAGCTTACCTTTCCCTGATCTGCAAAACGAGAATAAATACGCAACTTTAAAAAGAAACACACACACACACACACACACAATAAATTACCCAAAAAAAAAAAAAAAAACACACACACACACAATAAATTACCCAAAGCAAAAGAACACCCATGCGCTTTTCTGCTATAAAGGAAACCGACTGCAAGCTCCATGTTTTGTTGCCGCAGTAGCACGGAGTTCCACAGCCCTGCCTGGCGGGCGGCTCCACTTGGCTCATCCCCCAGCGTTTGCACCGGGCCTGCTGACGAGAGATGCCCCGTGACTGAGTTCGTCGGCACCCCGAGGCTCCTTCCACACGGTCTTTTCCCCGCTCCCCAGAGATGACAATGCCTTCGGTAGAGACACGTGTATTGAGGGCACATTTGCGGGAACGGGGTTACAAAAGGACGCAGCCACGGACTCAACAACTGACATCACACGGAGGAAAAGCCGGCTCATTACACACTCACCTCAGCTGACATTTAGTTCAACAACACTGAAAATCCGTATATAATCCAACCCATATTTACAAAGATGCTTTCTTTAAAAAAACAGAACCACCACAACAAGACAAAGGGGGACCGGTTTCCGGTAACGCTTTGGAGTGGGCGAGAACTGGGCAACTATGGTACAAGCGGCATGTCCAGCTGTGATGTCAGATGCCGAAACGTTACAGGAGGTCTCGGCTCAGCGCTGTCTTGGCCGACCCTCCTCTGGAGTCGAGGAGAGGCGGCTCCCTCTTGCACGCGGTTACCTGGGAGTGTCGTCAAATGCAGGGGGGTAAGAAAACACACAGACACCTTCACGGCTAAGAACAACTACCTGGGCGAGGACGTGGGCCCCGCTGAAGTGCTTAGAGGGCTGCTGGAGCCCCAGTGGCACCAGGCTCAGAGCAGAGGGGCCAGAGCCCGGCACCCCGACGCGTGCCCTTCACACAGGCTTGGCCTGTGCCAGCGTCTGCCTCCCGCAGGGCTCTCTGGGTCAGCCGGGAGGCAGAAAGGAGAGCGTGAGATTTTCGGAGGCTGCCGGATGCAGTCGGGAGAAGCGGCTGGCCGGGGGCTACTTCGCCTTTACGGCCTGCGGAAGAACAACCCGTCGTTTCTTCGCTGACCCGAACAGCCTCCGGAAGAGAAGAGCGGCTAAAGTGCCTCGAGTGCCCACCCTCGGCCGGTGGGCATCCCGCCTGGGCTGCGGCAGGGCTTGGCTCGTGTCCCAGCCTCGTGCCAGCCCCTTGGCACAGGGGCCACTTGCATCCCGGCAGTCAAGAAGAGGACCCCGTCCCGTGTCCCAGCATGCACCGGTGCATGGGGTGGGCGAAGTGGGGCCGGCGTGGCTGACCTGAGGCAGGCGCCGCTAGGGCTGCTCTTGCTTCAAGGCCACGAGGCCGGGCGGGGAGCCCACGGCCACGTGGTGCACAGCCGGGTTGCGGGTGTGGATCTTCTGGTGGCAGTTCAGGGACTCCTTGTAGCGGAAGTTCTTCCCGCACGTGCTGCACTGGTAGGGCGTCTCGCCCGTGTGGACCCGCCAGTGCTTGAGGAGGTGGTCGCGCCGGATGAAGCTCTTCCCGCACTCGGTGCACTGGTAGGGCCTCTCGCCCGTGTGGATGCGCTGGTGCCGGACCGCTTTGGAGAGGTCGCGGAAATCCTTGCCGCAGTACGTGCAGGTCAGGGGCCCGTCGCCTTTGCCGGTGTGCAGCTTCTGGTGGAGGAGGAGGCTGACCTCCAGCTTGAAGCTCTCCTTGCACTGGGAGCAGGTGTAGGGCCGCTCCACCATGTGGTTCCCGGGGCGCTTCCCGGCCCCGGGCTTGAGGCTGGAGCTCCTCTGAGGCTCAGGGCGCTTGGGGGGTTTGGGACGGGCTGGAGTCGGGGCTCCTCTCGGGGCAGTGACCGGGGCCGGCTTCGGCGTCAGGCCCCCTCCCGGATCCATAGCGGGGTAAGTCCCCCCTCCGCCGTGGCTTTTCTGGTGGGTAGTGAAGAGCTGCTTGTCCACAAAGCCCTCCCCGCACTCGCAGCAGATGTAGGGGCCGGTGTGAGCCTCCACGGCCAGCAGGAAGGCGTCTCCCTTCCGGGGCTCCATCACGCAGCGCGCCGAGCGTCTCAGGCTGCTCCCCGGGGGCTTCCTGGGTGGGGTGATCAAGAGCGGCTGGCCCTCGCACAGCAGTTCCTCGCCCGGGCCCTGGAAGACCTCCGTCCATTTTCTCGGAAACATGCCGGGGAGCTCTAAGCTTTCGGGATCTTCCTCCAGGAGCTGCGGCGTGTCTGAGGAAACAAAGAAAGCCGGCACGTTGGCGGCATCCCGTGGGGAAGAGACCCCGAAGCCGCCCTTTCCCTCCCTCCCTCATGCTGTTCCCCCTTTGCCCACCCCCTCCAATTTCACCCACACCTTCCCCAGCACGATACGCCGGCTGCAAAGAGCAGGCCTGCTGCAAAAGAGCACAAGATGCGAGCAGACCAGCTGAGACACATCCGGGAAAGGAAAGACCTGTCTCAGCAGGGCCCTGATGTTCTGAAACCGGGGGGGGGGCTTCCTTCTCAATCTGCTCCAGCCAACCCACCCACCCACAGTTATGGGGCCCAGTTTGGTGTAGTGGTTAAGTGCACGGACTCTAATCTGGGAGAACCGGGTTTGATTCCCCACGCCTCCACTCGCAGCTGCTGGATGACCTTGGGCAAGCCATAGTTCTGATAAGAGCTGTCCTTGAAAAAGAGCAGTTTCTGTCAAGAGCTCTCTCAGCCCCACCTGCCTCACAGAGTGCCTGTTGTGGGGAGGGGAAGGGAAAGGAGTTTGTAAGCTGCTCTGAGACACCTTTGGGTAGTGAAGGGCAGGGGATCAATCCAATCTCCTCTTCTTCTTCTTCTTCCTCAAGGTAGAGAAAAGCAAAGTATAAAAACGTACTCCTGTTCTTCTGCCTTTCTTTTAGAAAGGACTTGGGGCCAGATAGCTCTCGTGGCTAAGAGCAAACATGTCTTTAAAGTCAGTCTGTTCTTACAAGTTCCACACTGGAGGGGCTGTGGCTCAGTGGTAGAGCACCTGCTTGGCACGCAGGTTCAGTCCAGGTTCAATCCCCAGCCTTTCCAGTTAAAAGGATCCAGTTGTAAGTGATCTGAAAGACCCCAACCTGAGACCCTGGACAGCCAGTGACTGTCAGGGAAGACAATACTGGCCTTGATGGACCAGTGACATGCTGCAGTACAAAGCAGTTTCATGTCTCCGTACGTACACCTGCTTCACATGCAGAAGGCCCCGGGCTCAATCCCTGGCAACTCCAGTTTAAAGGATCAAGAAGAAGAAACTGCTCTTTTTCAAGGACAGCTCTTATCAGAGCTACAGCTTGCCCAAGGTCATCCAGCAGGTGCAAGTGGAGGAGGAGTGGGGAATCAACCCCGTTTCTCCCAGATGAGAGTCCGCGCACTTAACCACGACACCAAACTGGCTCTCAGGAGTCTCAAAGCAGCTTACAATCGCCTTCCCTTCCTCCCCCCACAACAGGCACCCTGTGAGGTAGGTGGGGCCAAGAGAGTTCTGAGAGAACTGTGACTGGCTCAAGGTCACCCAGCTGGCTTCACGTGGAGGATTAGGGGGACCAAATCCGACTCTCCGGATTGGAGTCCACCGCTCTTAACCACGCCACCACACTGGCTCTCAAAGGCAGGTTAAAAATGCCTTCAACAGATAAACGGATAGAGAAGAGGCCATGGGACCTGGCTGTCCCCCGCCAAGCCAGGAGCTCCTCTGCCAAAGAAGGCCTGCGTGGAGGTTTCTGGAGCAAGGAGAATGACGCAGCTCAGCCCCGACAGCTGTCGCCCTCTTATTCAGTTCATGGGCACTGATGCCCGGAGGCCAACTCTGGGCCTGGCAGGGAAGCACACAGCCCCTGGCTCTTCACAAAACGCGGTGGGGGGCAGGGCTCTACGTTGCCAGATAATGCCCCGGTATAAAATTCTACAAGAAGAAGAGGAAACAATGGGAGACTGCCCTACGCTTCCTCCTCCAGCTGGTGGCCTGGAATAGAGCAAAGGAAAGCATGCAGAAACCGGGGCGGTTTGGGTGGAGACCCTGGAGGTTTTCTGTCATCTTCTGGGTGTGGAACAGGGGTCACTGGGGGTGTGGAAGGGGAGGCAGTTGTGAATTCCCCGCATGGTACCTTACAGTGGTTCGCAGAGCTCCCGGAAGACACCGGGGCCCTGCAGGACCTATTAAAGTTCCGCAGGGCCTGCAAGACGGAGCTCTTCCGCCAGGACTTCGACTAAGGAGCCGCACCATACAACTGAGGCCCTGGCCCCAATTTTAACATCAGCGTCAACAACGTTATTAACAGCCGACATAACCCAGGCTACGACGGGAGCTGACTGCCTGTTTTTTGGATGCTATTTATGCCCGCCGGTGTGTATGAATTATCTTGGCACTAGCACTTTGTAATGTCTATTCAGGGCTCTTTTTGTAGCAAGGACTCCTTTGCACATTAGGCGACATACCCCTAATGTAGCCAGTCCTCCAAGTGCTTTACAAAAAATCAGGAAAGATAATACATTTAGACGCCTGGGGATCCATCAGAAGCTTAGCAACATATTTGACCCTGAATACTTACTGAGATCAGCATGCTATCTAAATGTATCATCTTTCCTGATTTTTTGTAAAGCAGGGGGTTGGACTAGATGACCCCAGAGGTCCCTTCCAACTCTATGCTTCTATGAAAGAGGGGGAGGAAGCCTTTGAGGTCTCAGGGCACAGAAGTTCACCTTTCCAGCTACGATCCAGACACACTTGCGCCCAAGAGGCTGTCCTGCTAAAAAACCCCACCCCCACCCCCACTCCAAATAGCAGAGGGTGCTCCAAGAGGCCCTTACCTAACTCACCCACAGGGGAGTCTCCGGGGATTTCTCTCTCCTCCAGGCCCCCCATGCTCTTGACCAGGGCCATGTCCTCCTGTTCCATCCAGGAGCTATCGTGGAGAGCAGAAACTGGACAGCCTGTTTTGGGGAGAGGAGAGCGACCCGTCAGCACCGCCGCACGACAGACAGAATCCCCACCGGCCGTGCTTCAAGAGCAGGAGGTGCCACCCACCCGATGCTTGGGACTGACCCTTCCCGTTTCACAAACCCAGCTGGCTGCGGCTCTTCAACAGTTCCACGCAAGCACAGTGCAGACACGGTGTTCGTTTGGGGCGCAGGACCCAACGTCCCAGGACTTTTAACTTTTAGGCACTCCATGAAATTGCTGAGCAGTCGGGTTAGATCAGATAAAAGGAAGTCCTTCTTCACCCAGAGAGTGATGAACACATGGAATTTGCTGCCACGGGAGGTGGTGGCGGCTACAAGCATGGGCGGCATCAAGAGGGAATTAGATAAGCATCTGGAGCAGAGGTCCATCAGTGGGCCATTAGCCACAAGGTAAGAGATGCCAATGTTGGATCAGGCCAAAGGCCCATCCAGTCCAACACTCTGTGTCACACAGTGGCCAGAAATACCAGGGGCCATCAGGAGGTCCACCAGTGGGGCCAGGACATTAGAAGCCCTCCCACTGTTGCCCCCCCAAGCACCAAGAAGACAGAGCATCACTGGCCCCAGACCAAGAGTCCCTATCTATACCTTGTGGCTAATAGCCACTGATGGACCTCTGCTCCATATGCTTATCTAATTCCCTTTTGAAGCCGTCCATGCTTGTAGCTGCCACCACTTCCTGTGGCAGTGAATTCCAAGTGTTAATCCCTCTTTGGGTGAAGAAGTACTTCCTTTTATCCGTTCTAACCCGACCGCTCAGCAATTTCATGGAGTGCCCACGGGTTCTTGTATTGTGAGAAAGGGAGAAAAGTACCTCTTTCTCTACCTGCTCTTTCCCATGCATAATCTTATAAACCTCAATCATGTCACCCCTCAGTCGTCGTTTCTCCAAGCTAAAGAGCCCCAAGCGCCTTAACCTTTCCTCATAGGGAAAGTGTTCCAACCCTTTTATCATTCGAGTTGCCCTTTTCTGCACTTTTTGTATAGGTACAGAGAGGGACTCTCGGTCTGGGGCAGGGGTGGCCACAGCTGTGGCTGAGGCCGGGTAGGTTGGAAAGGAAGACTCAAGAATGAAGGAAAGCCTAGCTGGTGGATGGAAACAGGGAGATGGTCAAATGTCAGGAATCTCAAAGTCAAAATACCGTTTCCAAAAGGAAGCTGGCGCAGAGAATCAGTGTGGTGTAGTGGTTAGCGACAAGGGGAGCGGGGTTCATAGCTCTGCTTGTCCATGAAGCTCCCTGGAAGTTCTTAGGCTAGCCCCCCCCCCCCCCCCCAATTTCCTTTTATGTCAAATGCAGGTGTGATTTTTAACGGTCAAAGTCCTGGGACACAATATAACAAGTAAATAAAAGGCGCCTGATTTGTGCCAACATCACGTTATCAGCTTCGCTTTTGAAAGCCATCATGGGACAACGGTCAGAGCAGGGGCAGAGCGTGGGGAAATCTGGGGGGGGGCAGCCGGGTTGTACCCGCTGCTCCTCTTGCAGCAGCAGCAGCAGGAGCTCCAGGTCCACTGCGGCCGCTAGTCCTCCTCTAGTCCTTTCAATTGGAGAGACTCGATTCTGGGCTCCTTTTTTGTGTAATCTGGGGGGGGGGGGT